CATCTATAAGTGGCACGTAGTCAGATTTTGAAATTATAATATTTGTTCAATGAAAATCGATGGAGAAGGTGAGAGGGATCGATGAGGTGTTAATAGTAAACTTGCCCCGAAAGAACGCAGAGCCCGATCTAATTTGCCGGGGATTTCCTCGCGGAGGTGAAACGTTACGATCTTTCGTTTCGATGACAAATCCCCTATCAGGATTCGTCCCCGGGCATAAAAGATCGAAACGATTCGATTCCACGTCGTTAGCGAGAGGAATTTCACACGGATGGATGATGAAAGCGAATGCTTAAGGCTCGACTCACGCTAGATAGATAAACGTGTCGATATCGATCGATGGAATTTGTACGAGTGACGGTACGAGACCGAGATTAGTGCGGAAAATATTGAAATTATTACTGTTTCTTTTTTTTATTATGCTGTCGCATCACCAATTTTGCAGATGATTAGCCTGACTTCGATTAGCCGCCCACGTGAGTATCATATTAACTATTATCAGCATTAACTATTTGACGAGCATTCCTTCGAAACATATTACAGAATTATTAAATCATACATCTCTTATAAATTAAAGACGTAGAGAATTGAATGTAGGTTGTACGTATTATCATTTATCAACCTGATTTAATTCAATCTACGTTCGAGCCATTTAATTTAAAGCGATTCGTGTGAGTTAAGCCTTATACGCTCGCGGATACCGATGCATTTTTATCGTGCGTACGTGCGGTTATGCGGCCGAGCACAGTAGTTTAGTCACCGATCTTTAATAGATCCACCATGCCTCTCACCACTGTTCACCGCTGTGAAGTGATCGCCACCAAGTTTAGCCACACCAACCGTGACCCGCATTCTCCACCGTATCGGGGGAAACGTCGAATCAACCCGTTTCGTTCTCTCTCATTAAACGTTTATTAAACGTTAACAGGGATAACGCGTCACGATGGATAAAAAGGTTTAATAAAGAGGCCTCCCTCTTTTCTTCTTGTTGGTTCATTTCTTGCAGCAGATCGATCAGTTTGCGAAATGGAGTTTAATAAATTAAAATGGCGAAATAAATTTTTTTATAACGATTTTATAACGATATAGAGTGAAGTTGGGCGGATTGCATCGATCGGAGCGGAGTTTTACGCGCGATTGATGTATTTCCATGGGAGAAATATATTAGATAAGTAGAGTGTGCGTGGATTGATTGTATTTGGAATGGAGGAGAAAAGAAGGAAGAAAACGTAGAGAGAGGAATAGATAAAGGAAAAGATGAAACAAAGAGAGATGAAATGAAAGCATAATGCGATAGAGTTCCGAAAACAGACGGAAAGATGAAAGTAAGAAGGAAAAATGAAAAAGAAATTAAAAGTAATGTTTCCCTTCTTCTCCTTGTGCTTCGACTAAGTAAAAGTATAACTCTACATCTGTTTTCTCATCATCTTGATTAAAGACTTTTAACAATGAAACCATTTTAAATCCCAACTAATAATAGATAGGCTTATAATATATCGAAGAAAATTAAAATAAATCGACAACTTTTCTGGATCACGTCGCATGGAATCTTACGACAACGTGTCTTATTATTCCTTCTTCCCTTAATTCGCAGAAAAACGCGAACGACGAGATTTAATACCATGCTTATCGCAACACGTTTTCTTCGTGCACTAACACTTTTTTCTCTTTTCTTTTCTTTTCTTTTTTTTTTTTTTCGCCAACGAAAAGATTTCTCCGCGCACGCGCGGATTTACGATCGAAAATTTTTCACCTCGCAAAAAGGGAGGTCGTAAAATTTCCAAGCATAAAAAGACGCGTATCGCGGAAATTCGGCTTCCTTTTCTTTCTTTCGAACCGACGCCTGCGTGTATTTTCTTATTCAATCGAATGATTGAATTGTAGAAGTGGCTTATTATATCAATCGCCATATTTTAAAAAATATAAATTATAGACGGGGTGTACAGCGAAGGAGTGACAGTGATCGAACTGATTCGCCTTTGCATATAAAATTTGGCTCCTTCGTTCCTCGGGAAGAGCGCATATGGTTGATTCGCTTGTCGTATCGTGCTAAAGGGAGCAGCGTGGAGAAATATTTTATCGAAAAATCGAAGAGACATCTCTCTAAAAAAAAATATTCATTTCAGCTTCTGGAATAAGTAACTTGTTAAGATTCGTATTTTTCTCCCTTCTCATTTCTATTTAAGGGATTGATAAATCTTTTCCAGCGTAATTTCCAGAACAAAATCGTTAGAAAAATAAGATGAGATAAATAGAGAAAAGAGATAAAAGAGATCTCCGGTCTAACTTAAAATTCGAAAATGTAAAAATTTCCTATCTCGATTTTTCTTTTCTTTCTTTCTTTTTTTTTTTAAGATGATTTCGAGCGGAAGTGCAAGAATAACGCGTGGACACGGATCCATTCGGTCATCGACAACGATCAAAATTCAGCCAGGACGCATTATCGGTCCACGAGCGTAACAAACGACGACAATTTGGCTCGTTTGCCCGTGCGTTCCACCGTCTACCGGTCGGAAACAGTGGGTCGAACAAATGCTTTCGCTTTTGGAAATGGGCCTCGAAACATGCCCTCGGTAAATTACAACGATTCCGGAAGACCGAGTCTCGAAACTTGGTCTCGACGAGCAGACAGCGTTAAATTTATCTCGAGAGAATTTATCCTGGTGGACACGCCTCGTCTTTTTTCCTCTCCCTCCTCGTCTCGAATTAATTTCGCGCGAAGACTTGAAGAGTTCTTGAAACTTATGCTCGAATTTATTGATATTGAAAAAAATTCACTTTCGATCAAAAAGCAAAAAAAAAAAAAAATAAGCGATAACTTGTCGTGGAAAATTTTGGAATTTTATCCGATCTCAATATTCAACGAGTATGATATTTTATGGGACAATACGTAGACATACGAAGTATAATTCTTCTGTTCACGGATTAAATTATTTCTTGTATGAAATTTTTTAGAATTTTCTCTGATTATATATATATATATTCGTCGAGGAAAGAAATATGATTCGAAAGGAAGGTGATTCGTGAATAAATCAAAAAATGTAGGATAGAATTTTTCCACGCGATGCTCTCTATTTTATCTTCAGAGAATATATAGTAGATACTCGCCTCGCCTTTTTCAGTTTCCGTGCGTGGATTAATCCCATGGAACGTCGATTCTTTTGGGAAATTCTCGAATTTTTTGTTCGATCTCGATATTTGAGGAATACAGGTTGGTTCGTAAATCGCGATACGAAGATGAAAAGTACGCACAAAGTCGGAAATAGATGAGATAAAATTCTTCCATCTCTAAGAAGATACAATTTAAAAATTCACTCGCCAATCGAAAGTTCTTCGGATAAAATAAAAAACGATAATCCAACGATAAGATGGTTAATCAAAATTCCTGTTCGTTTCCCTTTAAAAATTTAAGATATATTTTCTAAAAACTGAAGAAAGATTCAAAGAGGCGATTAACCACTATTGAAGGTCCAATCTAGAATTTAATTTGGACGTTTCTGGGTTTCCAAGTATCAGTTCCTTCACTTTTGGAGGAACTTAATCACAGTTCGTGAAGCGAATACAGGTTTCGCGATATTATCGTACGAAGTAAAATGAAATTACTAATCTGTGCTTCTGCCAGCTGTATACCGGTGACACAATCTCCACCGCGATATCGTCGCGATACAAGTCGATCCACGTTGTTATTAAGCGAACCGCGCCTCTGGCATTTAGACCGTGTCTTGGATAATTGAACAGGTTATGAACGTGGCTTCACGACTCCTCGAATTCCATGTTCCACGTGAACGAGAACGAGCGATCGTTAAATTTATAAAAACGTCGAAACGTCAACGGCCGCGGAAAATTTTATTCCCTATATAATTATACTTTTTAATTAAAATTTCGACCAAGATGCTTGATAATTCCCCCTTTTAAAGGGGATGCAAAGTGGAAGGCAAAAGAAAAAAAAAAAATTGTTAGTGGAAGAAATTTCAAGCAACTTCTTTCCAAAAGTTATAAAAACTCGTGAATTATCATCCAATGATAAAATTCGAAACAATGTTTGTCGCGTGATTTAAAAATTTATTCGTAATCGAATATTCCCCACCCGTAAATAAACGGTGAATCGCTACTATTTCATCTACTGTTTCGGCTCTTTTATACACAATTCTATGCAACGCGACAGAATTTACGGTTACGTTAGATCGGCTCGATGGCTCGATTCATAAACAAGAGTCGATTACGCGTGTAAAGCTTGCAAAGGCATCGAATTATGTCCCCGGCGTTAAATCTTCGAAACAGATTGATTCACAGCATCGTGTCCTCTCCTAATGCTTCTAATTAATATTCCCCCCTCTCCTTCCTGTTCGACTCCCTGTTTCATCCCTGCCTTCCCCACGGATCGTTACAATTTCGCACGCCTTTTAACAATGATAATGGAGACCGAATCCAGAAGAGAATTACCTCCTCTACTTTCTAAAAATCGGCAATTAACACTTGGACCGATCCAGAGATTTGCCAACAGGGCGGCGGCAAGGTTTAATGGCGCGGTTAATTTTGAATAACGATCTGGTATTTCGAAGATCCGCAGGTGAGAGTCGAGGAGAGTCGCGTGTATTGGGACGTGGTTTTATCGAGGGATGTCGTTGGGCTCTATTGCGTGGAAGATAGCAAAGCGGGAGGGTCTGGGATCTGTAAATTTATAAATTTGGAACGTTGGGGAATTGGAGCGATCGATATATAATAAAGTTTTCGGGTAAGATTCGTGAACGCGTATACAATACGAAAGAGAATGTAAAGAACGTAATTACGTATCGTTCACAACGTGTGCGTGTCGGAAATTGGAACAGCGTGTGAAATTGATAGGGATCGTTATTATTTCGCCTTGATTTTCGGACGATTATGCTCTGATTAATTTTGTAATCGCCGACAGGTAGTGGATAGAGGAATTAATAAGGATGCGGGGGGATTAGAAATTAATGATTAAGGATTTTGGCTGAGTTTGTAAACCCGAGGAATAATGAAAGAGGCGATCATCGGATATGCGATGTTGATTTAATTAGAGGATGCAGTTGATTTTGATGAAGGAATAATTAGGCCATGAAAATTGTTGAGGAGGGAGCAAGATGGTGTACGAAATATAAATATTTTGTTCGCTTCGAGGGAAAGAAATTTAGTGAGTGATCTCTGATTTAATAGGAAAAAATTGTTGCTACAAATTCGATATCGATTCTTTCCTTCGCATCGCGTTCCGGCATGGATGGTATTAATTAAACGGAATATGTATACATCGATCGATGATTATCAGTAGGGGATCGTGGAATCGCCATTTAAACTAATCTCCAGAGCCAGCCGAATTGTAATTAATCGATTCGTTAATCGTTGTTTCGATAGGCAAATGGATAATGAATTTCGATCGATCGACGATCGCGCACGAGAAATTGTCAAACAAGTAAATAATCGTGGAAAAAAAAAATAAATGGCTGATTTCGACGTGGCGACGACGATTCTACTATTTTTGGAAAAAATTTGCTACAATGATTTATTCGGTTTCTCCCCGTCTTTTATTTGCTTTCACCCTTTATTTGCTTGGAAAACAAACGTTTCAATCGTCGCCCCGTTTACGTTTAAGCGAAATAACGAACTCGCGATATATATATATACAACTCAAATTTACACGAGTGGAGAGAAATGAAACCGGGGAATCGCGACGAACGTTGAAACTTAGGGAAGCGTGGGTGTTAATCACGCGATTCGTGGTCAAACTTTCCACGACGATCCTCCAACTAATTCCGTCCTGTATATAAGTTGACGATCTTCTGAAATAAAGATCAATAATCGATTAGCAGCAATTTTAAGTTGAAAAATCGAAAATATTATCAATGATCGAGACGCTTTTGTTCTTCTTTCTTTGTTATTAAACAGAGAAATCATAGCTGATGAATGTTAAAATCGATTCAATTTTCGAGAGATTAAGGATTAATTGCGAACGATGAATCACTTCGCGTGCAGAATTTGTATTGGCGAAATTTCACGATTCGAGGTAATCCTTTGCCGCACACAACCGCCGAGTACAAACCGAATCCTCGAAGCCGAAGCTTTCCATGAATCGCACGATAAAAATCTTCGAGAATCCACTCGCGAGTTTCTCTACGTTCCTGTTCCTCTTCAACGTGTGTTCGCGTAATACCAATCGAGGGTGGTAAAGCTGATGACGATGTTGGAGCTGTCGATCTTTCGCCAAAATCCTCGTCCCGCTCTTCGACGATTGGTGGAGTGGATGCGGGCAGATTTTCTTTTATCTGGAAATTACGCGCGATAGCCGTGTAATAAATGTTGTTGAACCATGCGTTTCCGGATGGTTAATAAAAATGGCTCGTTTCAATTTAAGAGCGACGAATTCTAAACAAAATTCTCGGATTTATCTTCCTTTCTTTTTTTTTTTTTTTCTTGTACCAGTTTCGTTATGTGATCACGATGTGTGTATCTGCTTGTTTATATTTGACAAGCTATTTAACAAGAGTTGGTTTTGCGATTATTTGGTTATGCGAATGTAAGTGGGAAACTTGCACAGAGAGGAATATGAAAATACTTTACTTACGTGGATTATTTATTGTATTTTCGGAACAATGTTTCACGATGTGCGATTTTATGATGAATTTTAAATGAATTTCCTTTCGAGAGTTTTTTTTTTTTGCTCTCCAGATAGAATTATTTTGTCCTCTCAATGCGATATTTTATACATTGCGTAAGATTGATACAATGGCTTAAACGGGAGAAATAATAATATGATTACTGAAAAATGATCCATTCCATTTATCCACGTTTATTATTATAATACATTCTGATTTCAGATGAATTTGTTTACACAACACATACACATCCGGTTCATATTATACACGTGACATATAAAATAATCAATTTAATAACAAATCCAATTTTCAATTTCATCACTTTAAGGACTTTCGAAATTGAATAGTGTCGAAAATAATTCATTAAAATTTCAACTTGAAACGCCTCGAATAAATAATCATGATATATAATAATCGGCTTTATTTAGCTCGCGAGCTTGCACGTTCGATCCATCGAAGAAATGTCTAAAAAATGTCTCTCGCGAAAGATTTTCATGGAACTTACAAAAAAAAAAAAAAGAAAAAAAAAGGAAAAAAAAGGAAAGCTTCGAAATATAGAGAAGAGATGAAACGAAGAATGCAAAACGACCTCTCCATTCCTCTCGAAAAATCCACTGTCGCGGTTAAATAGAGTAAAAGACTTTTGAAACGCGGAGATGCAAGAGAAAGGAGATACGTTTTACAGGGATGTTTTATAGAAATTTGTTTGAAACGAACGAAACATTTCTATTATCGATCGTTCTCAGGGGCAGGGAGTAACGTATAGTCGAAACTCCGTGTGTCTCTTATCTCTTTTGATTTTGATTAAATTTTTGATCCTTTGATGCCTCCTTTGATGCAGTTCAGTTTATATCGTTTAATATTTTGGTTAGAATTTGATGAAACCAGCC